CTGCTGTTTTGTTCAGTGTTTGCTGAACAAAGTTTGTAACAAAAAATTGCCTCTTAAGGTGCAAATTTTTTTTTTTTTAGATTTGTGTAAAATAAAGTTATCAAATGCACACTTTCGTACCTTCTCAGTTACTGTTGGGAAATAGCAAGCCTTTCCATAGAATTCCCAAAGGAATGGCCCTTAGGGCATTTAATAGTTTCCTGAGAGGAAGGCTCTGGCTTATCAGGCTCTAGCAGAGAAGGAACATTGGCATCCAAGCTTCAAAACTAAGGAATTATTCATGCTGCAGTTAGTACAGACTGCTGTGTTCTTAGGGATGCCTGAGCTGGGTGGAGACAGGACTGTGTTGGCACTTGTTATTGCAGTGAAGAGTTCACAGTGGGTTAGGTTGTCCTGTACAAACTGTTGCTGAGTGCCATACTCCTACTGCACCACCTGCCAGACATGGTAATGCACTTGCACAAGCATCAGCTGTGTATTGTTTTTATTATTAGGGTGTCTACAGGCTCAGAGGATGTGACAGAAATGAGAGGAAGGAGAAGCGTAGGTGGAAAGGGAGAGGTAGAACTTGGCCTCTCAGCACAGCAAGCTGCTACAGTGGTTCAGGACTTATACCATAACTTCTCTTAAGAGTACCAGGCAGCTCTCCTGCACACAGAAAACAATAATATCCATGTAATATTAATTAGTGTCACATCTAGGAGAGACAGGTGACTTTCAGCCGAGGGACCACATCTCTGAGACCAGGTACTCAGGGGAGTGGCAATGCTGTGTAAATTCATCTGGTGCAGTAACTTAACATTTTTAAGAACTATGTAGTTAAAACTAAAGACAGATTTTGGGATCTATGTGCTCTTTTTCACCTCTTGCTTGAGCAAAGCCCACCTGGTAGGCAAAATAAGTGCCCACCAGAACATGCAGGGAATGTCTTGTCCTCATAGATCACCTTCTGATAACAGGTCTAGTTCTTTTCATCACCATGAAAGCCAGTGTTGACCTAATGAAGAGGAGAAATTGTCCTTTTATTTGTTTTACAACTTTATAAACTAACTAACTCAATGTTTTTAAGTGACATGTTTCCTTCATAAATGCCTTGTACATCTGGAGAAGCTGGAAAAAAAAAAGAAAAAATTTTTCTTTTCAAATGGATTTGGATACAAAATCATGTTCGCTCAAATGGCAGTTGCTGAGAGTTGTATAAAGCTCTCATCCATGTACATGTGTGACCTGTGCTGTCATTTTTCAGAAAAAGGTTGTTGTCAGCTGCATCAGGCAACATAATCAGTCATGCTCTTCAACCAACCACCTCCACAGGGGTTGTTGTTCCAGTCTGACCAAGATGTATAAGAAGAACCTTGTTGCTATTACCACTAACTATGCCAATTGATTTAATGTTTTGAAACTGAAGGAAGGGCTTTATTTAATAACTGCTTATCCAATTAAAAAAATATGTATCAAGTTCAGACCTGACTACTCCCAAATGTTGCAGGTACTAAGTCACTGTATTTCTAATGCATAGAAAATTGGTTGGTTGTTTTTTTGTTGTTGTTATCAATAAGCACTAGGCATGCAGGAAAGAATTATGCGTTTTGTCCAAGGTTAATCCTGTTCAGTGTAGAGACCCCTCAACATCCACTGGGACTTTCTCAGCATGGCTGCAGGCAGAAATACTGGTGTTGTGCCTTAGCTATGCAATATGCATGGTGCCAGCATACTTTGTCAGCGTCAGAGTGCTGTAAAGAAACAAACCATAATCACAGTGAATGAATATAATTGATAGGTAATCCAAATTACAAACATGTTTCGTATGTTTCTACACCATTGTATACTTCCCAGTCCTGGCTTGCTGTCCTCCCTGCTTTGTCTTGCTTTAAAAAAAACTACAGACTAAATGGAAATTGCTGATAATATTATAAATGTATGCATTTTAGCAACTTCACTATTGTTGCCAGCTCATTTCCCATTATGCCAGATCAGGAGACTACCTCTTTTTATATAAATAATGTTTCAGAATATCCAAACTGACTGAGTTGTTGACTTCTCCCTCCAGGATCTAATTTAAATGTGTGAAGAAAAAGCCTGAGGTTTTTTGCTGGATTTGCGATACTTACCATTAAATTTGAAAATGTGTTTCAAAGTTTTTTGGTGTTTGGTGGCAGTGGTGTTATTCATTGCTTATTTCTCTTCAATGCTTTCTGCTACAGGCAAAGTTTTTATTACACTGTGCATAACCACAAGTAAGTGAAAAGCCAAGTAGTTCAGCCACTGTTGGGGGGGGGGGGGGGGAGGAGGTTGAAGTATAATTGAAGTATAATGCACATTTTTATTCCTAAATTGCTGTGTCCTGTTCTTAACAATCCTGACACATGAGCTCTGGTTGTTAAAAGTTGTTTTTTGCAGCCATGTGCAAAAGATAAATCTGAGATCAACTGGAGACTGGTGCTGGTTAATGATATTGATCTTTTATCGGGATAGTACAATGATGAAGCAGATGAACACCCTATTGGCAGTGGAGAGGAAGTGTCGCATCCAGGCTGTGTCTGGTAGTGCAACCAACACAAGGGTAAATGTTTTTCAGCTGATGGCCATTTATAGCCTTGTGCAAAATGGCCTTGGCTTTAATTTCAGTGGGTAGTCAGTGGAAATATGTCTTGGAGTACCAAGGTATTCTCGTATCTTCTTCTGCGGAAACTATTAACTTTAAGGATGCACACAGGTTACTGATCATGTTCACAAGAGCCTTACACTCTGTATGTAGCCTGTCTATCCTGTGCTGTACTTAAGCATTGAACTACTTTGTGTACACTCCCTCGTCATTCTGTAGCTGCAAAAGAATCCTGTAATTGTGGGATTACAGCAGAAGTATGATCAAAATATGCATTGTGTAGGTGAAGCAGTGGATTTACAACCTGTCTACAACAGGATATGTACATAGAAACTTCTGTCTGGGAAGTCTGACAATGGTGTGACTGCACTGAAGCATCAGAACAGGATTAATTGGGAACATCTTTCATAGAATCCTAATAGTCTTCAGTAGCAATATATACATATTGAAATGGGAATCTCTGAAATAAGAATGTCTTTGGCTCTTAATTGTCTGGAAACAACATTAAGTGATATAGCATAACAATTCATTTCTATAACTGCTGAGAATCCTTAACACAGTTATTGTAAATTTAAGAACGTTTATATTCTGTAAAAGCAGTAAATGTAATGTCATGCCATTCAAAATGCTGCTTTCAGCAATAGAGCCATCATGTTTATAAAGGGAATAAGTTCAGCAGTATGAGTGTACCAGCAAAGCAAAAGTACTGAAAAAGAGTTGAGAAGGAACAGGGATGTAACAAATGTTTGTTTTTTCCAACTCATCGTGTTTAAATCCCGTTTAAACAAGGTTTTGTTTGGAGTGTCCATGTTGACTTTCTATTGAGTGAAAATTAGGTTATGAAACAGATCATTAGATGAGAAATCATAAACTTAACCTGGAGAGTAGTTGTGAGAGTAGGAAAAAATACCACTACAAAGACATTGGTGCATGTCTTGCATATGTCAACAGATGTTAATCTAATTGTCCAGATGTGCTGCAGTGCAATTCAGTTCTTTCATTCCATTACAGGGCCTTTTTTTTTTTTTTTTTTTCCTGATAAGTATGGGAGCTGTCTTGAATGCTTTCTTTTAAGGGAGCTGATAGCTTCTTTCAATTAAGTTCATGTTCTCTGGTTGGTCCAGTTTTCAGCATATTTCACAACAAGTAGTACCTTACTGGCAATCTCAGCAGATGATAATAGCAAACCCAGGTCAGAAACCTGTTATCTCTTGCTATATGGCCAAACACATTTGAACTGAATGCTCAAAATGCATTAGAGCTGATCACATTCAAGCTGAGGTTCAGCTTTGCCATTTACAGGCAGCCACCAACACTTAAGGAGGGCTTGTATAAGATGTAATTAAAACTTCTGAATTCTTCTTTTGAAACAGTACTAAAGAGCATCATGGCATTTAGCAAACCTGACTAGGAACAAATGCCCAAATGCATTTCAAGGCATATTGGTATGAAAGTGCTAGAGAACGAAAGGCTGTTTTGAACTTAAAAATAGGAGAATATTTCAGTTCTTAAAAAGGGGAACATTTCAAATAGCAACTGCATTTGTACTTCACAAATGGAGCTATTAAAATTACAAGAAAAAGTGTCCGTTATTCTCTATGGGTAATATCTGAGCCAAACTAATATCACATGCATTTACACCTTAATGAACAGCTTAAAAAGAATAATCCTTTGGAAAGATTCCTATAGGCTTTCATGTAATTTAGACCAGGATAATTACAAAGAAAAAAAATATTTCAGTGCAGAAACAAAACATTTGATCTTTTAAATAGATGTAAAATACAGCCAAAAAAAGATTTTGCTTTGGATCTTAAAAATATATTCAAATCAAGGGAATGTTTCAATTTGCCTGAAAAGACAGTTTGGCACAAGTATCTAGCATAACTGGAAAAAAATCAATATTTATAATGTTCACATCTAAATTAAGAGCATTTTTTTATTTCAACATCAACAGTGTGGTGGTAAATATGCTACTGTTCTGGACAACAGCTTATCTTGGCATTGGTTTCATCCATGTCTAATAATGCTATAAATCTTGTAAGAAATGCCAGACTTTCCCAAAGCAAACAGCTGGGCCAGTAGAGACTGCCAAATTCTTGAAGTCTGTGAAATCTGTTTCAGTAAACATGGGATGTTCATCAGTAAAGAAAGCTATATATATATATTATTTTTTTCTTAAACTTCCCTGCAGCTAACAAAGAATTTACACCTTACTTTCCTCTGAGGCACCATGGAGCTTGGAGCATCTCTTATTTTATCCAAAGCAACTAAGCTTCACTCCAGTGATATATATTAATTCAATTGTGAAAGGTGATATTTCAAATGTTTGCTTTTTTTTTTTTGGCATGTGGCAATTTTCTTCTTGATACTTATTTTTCTGTATGTTCTATTGCAGGAGAAATTCAAAACATTTCAGTCAAGACTTCAGATTGATCCAGATGTGGTAGAATGCCTTCAGCAAAAGGATGGTTTGACTGACACGTCAGCTTCAACATAAAGCCAAGCCTGAGAAACAGCAATACCAAGGCTTTCCAAGAGCAGAAGCAATGAGCACTGAGATACCTTCCAACCTAATCAAACATGCAGGGCAGACAAGCATTCCATCTCTCAAAAATATAACAGATTTTTCCTTAAATATCACTGACTGCAACCAGGTTGTGGTGCCAGAGGAAGTCTTTTTCACTGTTGCTGCTGCTGGCATACTAGAAAATCTACTTGTTCTTGTCGCTGTCATCAGAAATAAGAATTTGCACTTGCCCATGTACTTCTTCATTTGTAGCTTAGCCATTTCAGACATGTTAGGCAGCTTGTACAAAACTCTGGAGAACATCTTTATTATCTTGTGCAAAATGGGGTACCTGACACGTCGTGGGGACTTTGAGAAAAAGCTGGATGATGCCATGGACTCCATGTTCATTCTGTCTTTACTGGGGTCCATTTTTAGCTTGCTAGCTATTGCAGCAGACAGATACATCACTATCTTCTATGCTTTGCGGTACCATAATATAATGACAGTGCGAAGGGCTTTGGTCATCTTGGCAATCATTTGGACATTCTGTGCTGGCAGTAGCATTGTCATTGCCCTCTTCTCCCATGAAATCGCTACAGTCATTCCCTTCACCATCCTCTTCCCTTTAATGATGTTTTTTATACTGTGCCTCTATATCCATATGTTCCTCCTAGCCCGATCTCATGCTAAAAAGATTGCCTCGCTGCCAACCAGTGCAGTCCATCAGAGAACTAACATGAAAGGAGCCATTACGCTGACTATTTTCCTTGGAGTCTTCCTTTGCTGTTGGGCCCCCTTTGTTCTTCACATCCTTTTAGCAAGATTTTGCCCACACAACCCTTACTGTGCCTGCTACATGTCCATTTTCCATGTGAATGGGACCCTCATAATGTGCAATGCAATCATTGATCCTATGATTTTTGCATTCCGAAGTCCAGAATTACAAAGTACATTTAAGAAGATGTTTTGCTGTGCCAGGCATAACTGGAACTGGTAGAAATTAAATGAAGTCAAATATTATTGAAGCACACCCAATGCAACATCAGCTTGCAGAGTTAAAAATACTAACGCAAAATAATACTACACTTGCACTGCCAATGATTTTCAGAGGGCTGTAAAAGAATACATGTAAGCAAAGTATCCAGACAAGTCTTTGTCAACTAAGCCTCTAGAAACATTACTGATTAAGTGAATTCTACTGATATTTTTAGACTACTGCATGGAAATTAACTGTCAACATTTCAGGAAAACTTCAATGTAAATCTTCTGCAGCAAGCCTTGTGTTCCCCTAGAGATGAGTTAATGCAGTAATTTCAATTTAAAATGTATTCTACTTTAAAATTATGTTGTTTAAATCACAAATAAATGAATAATTATTTTAAAACTTCACAGTTACATAGAAGTCTGTAATAAAGCAGAAAATATGAACTTGTCCTTAGCTGGCAATCTTCACTCATTACTTTGTTCTTCAGCATAAGGTGTCCTTAAAATCTTTCCATTAGTAATTTTCAAACATCAAAAATAACTTTTGGAGCATGAGTCCAAGCAAAACTGTTTTGGTTTAAAAGCTATTTTCAGTGACCAAATGGTTTTTCCCAACATAGATATGTTGTGGTAGCACAGATTATAGGCTTTCAATTTTGAAATCCCAAAGCCAGGTCTGGATCAGCAAAGGGAACTGCTGACTTTGCCAGCTCTTCATTAAAATTCCATAGATCAGTTTATTTTGATAAAAGAATAGGCTTCAGAGAAAGAAAAAGAACTCTGGTATAGCATTAATTTTCTAAACATGACACAACAAGGAATTAAAAAAATAAAATGCCAGACAGAAAATTGAAAGATCTCCAAGGAATTCAGTCATCTGGAAAGGGATCAGCCAGCCAGTTTGGAAGAATGCTACAAAACAGATTGCAATTTACAAAATCCTAGTGAGAAATTTTTGAATTGTCCCTGTCAAAATAATACAACACTTAGAAAACTGTAAGGCAGAATAGTTTTCATCTCAAAGTATCCCGAAGCAGTCTGGAGCATATGGTGAATTAACCTCACAGTAATTCCACAGAGTTATTCAGCTGTGCCAGAGACAAACAATTTAGTAAAATACAGACATGAAACTGGGGAGCCAAGGCATGGCTAGAACAAGAAGAGAGGAAAAGAGAAAATCCATTTATGCACGAATAGAAGATCTTTTCTATTACATCTATCAAAACACAATAAGAAAAACACATATTTTAAGATATATGAGATATGGACAATAGTATAAGTATTCAGAAGAACTTAGGGTTACAGATAAAGATGTAAGAAGGGAAGCAATAAATCTGAAAGTCTCTACAGAATTAAACAAAGAAAATAAATGAGAAAAAGTGAGTTGGTGAATGTTAAAATGATAAAACGCTTAGGAAAGAAAATCATGATATAGACAGACTTTATGTCTGCAACACATGAAATATATATAAAATGCAGTTCCTTCAAAACTCTATTTTCCACCCTCCTCCCTGCTAAAGAAATAGATAAGAGAGCTAAGTACTCTCCATCATGTTAAGAAGTCACTGCATCTCCTGAGTCCACTCCATATATACACAAAGCCTCCATGTTTGGACTGTGGTCTTCAAATGTAAGTTTTAGTAAAACGTGCAATAAACATACATATAACTTCTAAACATGACAAAGTAGTCACTGAAGAAAGCACTATACATTTATCACTGTAAAGAGGATGGAACATTCCAGACCGATTCATATCATAATCCAATTGTAAAATATTTTATTGAGATCCAGTATGAAGTCCTTCAAGAAAGACCACTCATTTTGTGGAGTCTGTGGTAGTTAGGAATAAGACAAATGTGAGAGCATGGTTTGAGGAGGACAGGATTACAGTTTTAGCAAGATCTGTATGGTGCCAGCCAACACATACTGGTGTCTTCTACCACACCAGAATGGAAATAGTGTGGCTTTGCCTGCAGGAAAGAGGATAACTTGGACCCTCACCTACACAAGTCTCAGGACCCAGCTGGCAGCAGCCTTATCTTGCAGCATCCCCAGGCTCAGAGGAGAGAGAGGGGTAAAATGTAGGCTGTGGATCTCAGGAGCCAGAGCCCTTTCTGTCCAGCTTTCAATCACATGCTACTGACACTTTGCTTTGCAACAAAGACCTGAACTTTTCTTCACTTCCTGATCCTGTATAGTTGTGAGAAAGGCCAGAGGCAAGGAATTTGAACAAGGGGCCATACCCAACCTCATTCCAGCCCTCCAGATTCCCACTCACCCTGTCTCTCCCTGTCTCAAGGCATAGCAGGTAGCAGCAGCTGTGGTCTGATTACATTTCCTGCAGCCCTATACAGTCCGTGTTGGACACAAAATTCTCGCTTCTCTATATAAAATCCTAACATTTAAGAAAAGACTCAAGATACAAAATCACTTCTGCAAACACATCTTTCATCCCATTCCTCTTGGCTGTACATCAAGGGATGAATAAACTGGCCTCCAGTAACCCAGCAACTATCTGCCCCTTGCCATCTCCACCCTTCACAGCCCCACCTCCAAACCTGGAGTGGCTTTTAATCTGCAGAATATGGAGCAGCTACCTGGTTTGAAAAGTAGATGAGCTCTCAACACATCCTGCCAGAAAAAATGTCATTCACTGTCCTTTCTGCCCCACACAGTCGCTCTTAATCTAAAAGACGGAGTAGTAATAGCCTTGCATTTCAGAAACACCAGTGCTATGAAAAAATAGATTGTTACCTACTGGGACACCTGCATGTAGATTACTGCCCAGTATGATTTTTTTTTTTCTATCCATCTTGTTAAAATAAAGAGTCAGCACTTACACAGCAAATATTTGGCAGGTTTTATCCCACATAGCTCATTTTGACCTGGAAGTATTTCAGCAGATATTGACATTGGAACTCAGATCCAAGTTTTGTTAGTAATATTTCCACATACTGTGACCAGAAACTAACTGTCTTTTCTTTGTAGCCTACCTAGTATAACCTGGGCAACACTTAATCTTGAGGTTTTGTCTTCAAACTGGTTGTAGTTATAGGATGGCTGTTACTGTTAGACTGTCTAATTCCCAGATAGCCAGAAAAATGAGGAGTAAGCTGTTACATAAGCGGGTCTAAGACAAAGCACAGAGAGAACAGGTTGTAAATCGTAGGAAAGCTACTTTTGTTACTCATTTAATATGTCCAAGACAACAGAACATTTCATATGTATATGTAAGAAATGCAGATTCTATGCATTTTCTGTACAGCTGAAATCTGCTGAAGAATCATAAGCTGAGCCTAAATTTGTATAAAATAGTATAAAAATTAAAAAAAAAAAAAAAAAAAACAGCCAAAAGTTACATAAAGATCAGAAGGCACTTCTAAGAATTTCTTTTTCAGTCTGCTCTAATTCTGTTGATATCAAGCGTTCTGAAAAGATTTTATTTCTGGGGTGGCAGAATCAGAAACAACATAAAATATTCTTGAATTAAGAAACTCCTTAGGTAGATTTTCCTTTTTAAGTGTGTCAGCAATTTACTGCATGTCAGCATAGAGCTACATCTCTGTATGTTATCTCTTGATTGGCTGTGAATTTGGCCTGCATTTTATCAGTGGAGCAGTTTCCAAGCAAATAAGCTTTCCAATTTCACATATTATTAACTCCATATACTTCCCTCTGTTGTGCTTCAAACAGATTCTTAAAGCATGATTTGTGAAGCCTTCATTGTCTTGCACAGAAGTTACTCTAGTTATATGATTTTCCTTCATCCAACCAGCATTAAATTACAAGTGTTTGGGAGTCAGAATTGTTCTTTAACTTTGGAAGAAATAAGTACATCATGGATCTCACTGAAAACGAATAAGCCTGGGTAGAACAACAACGGTGCCTGGAAGATCCAGTCCTCTTGAAATCACAGGCGACACTGTAATCAGTGTTTCATTTGGAAGAGCCCAGAGAACTTCTCATGCCTGTGGCTACAAAACTTTCCCTAGTCACTTATTGGAAAAAAAAAAAAAACAAAAAAACAAAGAAGAAAACCTCCTGCTCTTGCTTTTGTTTTTGAACTGAACTTCATGTTCAGGAGCAAAGTGAACAAATCTGATTAAGGCGCACAGGGGAGTTAATTCCACTGAAGTAGTTGATATGCCAGTGAGGAACAGACTTGCACAGCAGTTGAATTTCGTTCACAGAAGAGCAAGACATAGTTTAACAACTGCAAGAAAATTCCTGCTTCCTTATGACTCTGCACAAGACTTCCAGCAAAACAATTTGAACTCCTATTAGCTGAACAAAATTGCAGTTTTTCAACAATATTTAAGTACCTGAAAAGGAAGCTAACCTTCAAGTGCAGCACACCATCAGAAGGTAACAGTATTTATTTATAATATTTGCTTTTAATAAGCGTTATGACACTAATATTAGTCTTGTCTTTTCTGAAATCCCAAGCAAGATACTTAACATACTCAACAACCAGCTAAATCTACAGGCAGGAAGAAAATGATAGAAGGGATCCTGAAGTATTTACTTTGAGACCTAATATTGCTTGTCATTGTACAAAATTGAAGTTATATTCATAAACCTACTAACATTGGTTTTCTGGATTTGGCTTAGTCTCAGAGGCTTGCAAATGACTTTTTCAGTTCTACATATCTACATTTCAGACTAATGCTTTTTTTTAAAAAAAAAGTCTTTGAGTTAGATTTTAACTAAACTCTTCAAATGATACAGTTATTCAAACAATCTATTCCACTAAGAGGAACAGCACCCATTCTTTAATTCACTCCGGGTAATTATAGAAGATAGCCATCTATGAAGATATTACATGTTCACCATTTAACAGTGCTTTGATAGTGCTTTGAAGCTTCAGGCTTTGTTTGAAGTGTCACTTTTACAGAAGATGCAATGCTACTGTGAGCTTCTGATTCAAAGAGAATGGCTTACAGCATACTTCTGGAGAAATGAGCAGGACTATTTAAGAAAACTTTTCATTTCCACTTGAAAGCAGTTTTCTTATGCCAGCAAATCCTCTCAAATTACTGCTATAAGACAAAAATTGTATTTTTCAACAGTCACATAGTATAATAAGTGACCATTAGCCTTTAAGTAATTGCAGCTAAACCAGCAGAAATTTTATTTATATATATATATAAAGGAAAAAAATAATAAGACCA